TACACATTGTTAAAGAAAAATGCAGGAAATGTTGTTAGGATATGCAGAGAATCACAGTAAAAAAGGCTTTGAATTCTGCTTTTGACTGACTTTTGTAAAGGAGAGCACTTTTTTTGAGATGTCTATTTGTTGTTTTATTTTTATTTTTAATCCCAGTCTTCTATGCTAATTTTTTTTTTCTTTTTCTTTTTGATAATATTATGCTAGTTTGTTTTGTTTTGCTGGTTGGAATCTTCTCCTACATCCACAGAGGCAAAAAGTCCAAACACAAACTTTTTTTTCTACTTATATTTTTTTAATTTAATTTTACATATATATTCTTTGTAAAATGTACTTAATTCACTGTAGAAAAAGTAAATTAAATTGGATTATAATTATTTTAAATGTAAAGTTAAACCTTAAATTTGATCTTTTAACTATTATATGGATTTCAAAATTATTTTTGAACTAAAAAAAATTCTTGATTTGATTTTGAAAGTTTTCAAATTTGTCTCAAGTTAGTACTTTAATTAAAAAATAACTAATGTGTTTATTATTTAATGATAAAAAATTATTATTTAAAAATTATATGTTACGTTAATAATGAGATACATTAATAATTTTTATATGAAAAAACTAATTTGAGGTCAAATTTAAAAACTTTAGAGATCAAATCAAAAAAAATTTTTAGTTAAAAGATTAATTTAAGAGTTTTGTACAATGTTAAAAGACCAATTTAAGAGTTTAACATAAAAATAACTTATGTATATATTTGGCAAAAATGAACCTTAATATATAAGAACGTGAATGCTATAATGAAAATGACATTAGTACTATTGTCCCTCCCACATAACGAGGAGGAGGACGTGGTCATATTTTTCATGTCGTATCGAGTGTCGGCATATTCATTTGGGTCCGACAAAGTTCTCAATATTAATTTTAAAATATATTACTTATTTACAACAAAAAGAAGAAGAGAATCTTTCGTCCTCCGTTCTCTCTTTTAACGTAATTATGCAAATCTATCATAAAACTCACACTCGCATCCATACATGTGAAGGAGAATCATGCAATTAGAATCTCGATTCATAGAGACCAATGGAAATAATAATGACCCAATTGCATCTTTTTGCATGTTGTGTGTAATGATTTCAATTTTCAAGGCCGCATGATAATATTATCTCTTCTTCTTGTTCTTCAAAAGGGAATGTCTATAGTGATTTGACAATATCGTAACTAAGTTTTTGAATATGAATTGTAATAATTTTTTTTATGTTGATTATATAATGAGATATAATTTTTTTTCATTTTTTACCTTATTTCATTGGTACGTCATATAATTTGAATTTAAGATATTTTACTTTCAATAAAAAGAGATTATTACTGAATTATTTAAGTTATTGACGAATTATAATAAATTAAGATGTCTTGATAATTAAAATAACATATATGATAATATAAAAAAATTTAAATATTTTTAATAAAATAATATATAAAAAATATATTAAAACTATTTAAATAATTTTATAATAATTTTAAAATTTAAAATATTGCATAATCATAATTTTAAATTTCCTCTTTAGATGTCATCCATTCTAAAGTGTTTCCTTTGATTTAAAAATAATAATCATTGTCGAGTATGTATTGCAATGAAGGGTTACTCATAGATTGGGTTGGGTCACAGTCCTCATGGGTGGACCATTTTCCCATTTTGGGCTCGGGGATATTTTTGGATTTAGATCCTGGTCCAATTCAAATTTTAACTTGGTTGGGCCGGCCTACCGACAACCCGACTAGCAATTTTCCGCCACGTGACCCAAACAACATCCATGGCGCCTTTAAATATTAATCAACCACGTGTCCAGCTAAGAGTGGTCTGTCACTCTCCTCTCGTGCTCACCTAAGAGGCCGTCAAAGGCGTTTAATTTTTGAGCTCTTACTCAACCGTTTTGGAAACCAGAAATAACGATTTTGGATCCATAAAACCCCCCACTCCACTTTCCGTACACTTTACTTCTCCACCTCTGTTTGGATGCCGAGAAAATTCAATTTTCCCTTCTGCTAAAATTTTAGTGGAGGTGAGAAATTTGTCTGTTGCCGGATACGCTCGCATTGGAGGAGTGAAATGGCGGTTTCTTCGATTCAGATGCTCGGAGGCTTGAGGCCACCCAGAGTTTCTCTTATAGCTCAAGCGAGAGTACCGTTCACGTCTTCCGGTTCGGTGGAGTACGCCTTGGGTCCATTAACGGAAGGTTTTGTAGCTTCTAGAATTTCCATGTCTCGGATCCGGGCCACGGTTGGTGAGGATGGACTGAGAACCGACGATGATTCCATGCATAATAATGTCGATGACAATCAGGTAAGGACAAAATTTTTCCACAATTTGGGTTTTGGGATTTGATTACTTGCTGTTGGTGTATCAATGTTTTGTACTGTTTTGATAGGTGGGGAAGCAGCCAGAGCGTGATTTTTCCGGCACACCATATGTCCCTGTATATGTGATGCTGCCGGTGAGTTATTTAACTTATCCAGGATGTCATGTTCTTGCTAAAGACAACATTGTTTTGCTAAACTTATGTTTATGTCATTTGATGTGTGTGGAGGTAGCTGGGTGTCGTTGATATGAATTGCGAGTTGGTCGATCAAGAGGGTCTTCGGAACCAGCTAATGATACTGAAGTCAGTTAATGTTGATGGGGTAATGTTGGACTGTTGGTGGGGGATAGTCGAGCGGCACACTCCTCAGGTCTATAATTGGAGTGGCTATAAGAGGCTTTTCCAGATTGTGCGTGAACTTGGGCTCAAGATACAGGTGAATGGTGTTTTAGTTGATGTGGGTATATATGTTTCAACATACTGTATTGTTTATGATCTGAGAGGTGTACATAGTCTAATGAATAAGAGAACTAGCTCAAAAGATATACGCATGCTTTCATATTTTGAAGTAGTTCAATTGGAAAAAAAGAACTGGAAATGCTGTTAGGAAAGGAAGTTTATGGTTAAGACTGGAAAGTAAATCTTAAATCTCACTTTTTTTGTGTTTATATGGATTTTGGTAGAACTTGTCATTGGAAGGAGAAATGAGGCTGTCTTTTGAATTAACCAATGACTATGTCTATAGATGAAATTTTTTAACAAGGTAGTCAATTGTCAGTTCACCATTTTGTGTTTGATTAAAGAAATTTGCTTTTGTATTATTTTTGTATGACTATTATTTAGGTTGACATCAGTCTTGATATAAGTAGATCCTTTTCATCAGGATCATTGTTCTAACTCTGTTGAAATCTGTTTGGGATATAATTTTCTTTCCTTTGTGTAAAATGGATCAGGTTGTTTTGTCATTTCATGAATGCGGAGGCAATGTTGGAGATGATGTGCACATTCCACTTCCCCAGTGGGTAAGAGAAATCGCTGAGAGTAATCCTGACATATATTTCACAGACAGAGAGGGAAAGCGAAATTCTGAATGCCTCACATGGGGAATTGATAAGGAACGTGTTTTAAAGGGCCGTACTGCTGTTGAGGTATTACATCTGGCTATAATTAGGAGCTACTGTTGACTGTTGAGGTATTACATCTGGTTATAATTAGGAGCTACTGCTGACGTGCATGCTTCTGTCTAAGCACTAATAAGATTTGATGTACATGCATGATGTCACTTTTAACATTGCTGTGGGTTGGCTTTTGAATGCAGGTCTACTTTGACTATATGAGAAGTTTCCGTGTAGAATTTGATGAATTCTTCGTGGATGGAATCATCTCTGAGATTGAAGTTGGACTAGGTCCATGTGGAGAGCTGCGCTATCCTTCTTATCCTGCAAAACATGGATGGAGATATCCTGGTATAGGTGAATTTCAGGTAAATGCCCAGTAATTGGTGATTTTTACATCTTTTCTTCCTGGTGAACCTTTTTAACTATTGTCAAGCATGGCTCAAACTCCCAGTGACTAATTGATAGATCTTTTTTGTATTTAATCGTATCTTCCATGTACTGATCTAACCTGTTTCAGTTCAGTGTTATGATAAGTATTTGATGAAGAGTCTGAGTAAAGCAGCAGAAGTTAGGGGACACACATTCTGGGCCAGAGGGCCGGATAATGCAGGTTCTTATAATTCCATGCCACATGATACTGGATTCTTTCGTGATGGAGGTGATTATGATAGCTACTACGGAAGATTCTTTCTTAATTGGTATTCTCAAGTATTGGTTGATCATGGTGATCGTGTGCTTGCTCTAGCAAACTTAGCTTTTGAAGAAACCAGCATTGCTGCAAAGGTGAGTTTAATTTGAAACCATTTTGGCTATTTGGAGCTAAACTAAACTTTATATATGTGAAATCAATAAAATCTAACAAATTCTTCATCACCTTTATCTTATATAAGATTTCTATATTTTGATTGATGATCAGCTATCAGGTATTCATTGGTGGTATAAAACAGCAAGCCATGCTGCTGAGTTGACTGCTGGGTTTTACAATCCAGCAAATCGTGATGGTTATGCTCCAATTGTAGTGATGTTGAAGAAGCATGAGGCTGCAATGAACTTTACATGTGTGGAACTACGCACCCTGGATCAGAATGAGGATTTCCCAGAGGCATTGGCTGATCCTGAGGGATTAGTTTGGCAGGTGAGGCCAGACATAATTATTTTGTTTTTCCAACTTGGTGTGAATAGGATTCTTTAGATCTTTTGAAATGGACCTGCTGCAAAGGAATCGGTACATATTTGTTTTCTTAAATATCGAGAAGGGAATAGATGAAATCTCATGCAAGTAGGAAAGTCTTTTGGATCAAGCTTCAATCAGTTGGTTTTCATTTTCAAGAAAGCATGCTGAATCTAGAGTCAAAGTTTGGGTTTATTATCCTAGCGAGCTGTGGTTAATTCTTGACCACCTCTATTTCCAGGTGCTGAATGCCGCATGGGATGCTTCCATACCGGTTGCTAGTGAGAATGCTCTAGCTTGTTATGACAGAGAAGGCTATAACAAGATATTAGAAAACGCAAAGCCTCGGAATGACCCAGATGGTCGACATTTATCAGTTTTTACCTACCTCAGACTTGGCCCAACTCTAATGGAGAGAGACAACTTCTCGGAGTTTGAAAGATTTGTCAAGAGAATGCATGGTAAATGACTACCTTTACACACACACACACACACCTGTATATGCATGCAGCACGCTGATCCGGAAACAGTAATAGAAATCAGCAGCTAGCATTTCACTTTTTTCCTGTTCCTTGTTTACTCTGTACAAATTAATTTAGATCTGTGACTTGTATAATCTTCATTTGCAGGGGAAGCAGTCTCAGATCTACAATCCTAATGAAAACTGAGCTTAACCTTAACCCGATTCCCGGATTGATGGGCAGGTTGTTGCTCAGGAGCAAGACACAGTTAAACTGGTATGGTTTGACAAGTTCAGTTATGCTCATGATCATGATCATATTGCTGAAGAGTAATTAATCAGAAAATTCCATCTAATTCTTCTAAAAAAATGTTCTACCTTGGTGGTGGGTTTATGGAAATTATGAATCCTTAACAATCAATATATATATATATATATATTAGTGTCAGACTACATTTACTTACTAGTGTTAAAAGTCATATAGTTTTGCTAAAGGTCAACATTTTGTAAATTACCACCTTTTCCCATCTACGTAATTAATCTTCTTTGTAAGAAATTACTTGGTCAAAATTAATTACTATTTGGTCAACATTTGCTAACTATTTTGTCCTTTTGTTAATATTTGGCTTCCTTTTGTATTGCTATCCTCTACTTACCTGTTTTGTCTATCTATATAGCACCATCAGTATAGGGTACATGTTTTTCTTCCACAAAAATAAAAAATGCTTCAA